TGCCCCTCACCAGGTAACTGCTCTGGGAGAGGAGAGATGGGAGGGTCTGCTGTTGTTCAGGAAATGGGTAAGGAACCATAGTGGTGGCTGACATGAGTATGCAGCCTTAGCCAACAGGAAGAAGGATCAAGCTACATACTAGATTTGGAGAGACTCTCCCAGCTCTAAGGCAGATACTGTGGGAGAGAGGAGGGGAACAGCCAGCCTGAAAATCACACTCTAAAGCAGCAAACTCAGATCTCATCTGGCTTGATATCAGTGTCAAGGATTGGTTGTTTGTATATTTTTCTAAGGAGAGGGTCTATAGCTTTAACTAGTTTTCACTACATCTGAGATTCTCAAAAAGGTTAAAAATTACTGATTGATGAGGTACAATCTGGTGGTGGGACAAGGCAGTTGAAGCTCTCAAGTATGAGTGACACAATGAGGTGGGTGGGGGGAATGTAGGGGTAGGAAACTGGGGTGGAGTATTCACCCAGTCAGTATGTGGAGATGAGGAAGGGGGACACATAAAAGGTGAGGGGTCGTGCCAAACAGGCTGAGGTTCAAGGCCGGGTTCTAGGCCCAAGGGGACTAGAATGTTTTGGACTGGTTATCTGTAGTCGAGGTTAGGCTCAGTCTAGCCTCAAGGAGCATCTGGTTACTTTCCCAAGGCTTAAGACGGAGAGATTATGTGCGTACACTACCAGCCCTCATTTTTTTGTTGTTGTTTTTTACCTTCTTATTCTCTATGACCCTCAGTTCCTTGCCAGTGCTGCCACCCATCTCCACAGCTACACCCTAGACCTCAGCAACCCAAACTGCTCTTCCACTGAAAGGACAGTTTCAGACCTCCACTGTGACCACAGCTGCCCCCCATCTAGGCTTTCCCCACACTTCTTCAACTGCATTGAGGCCTCCAACCCGTTAACTCCCGTTTCTCCTTTTCATCAGCCGTCACCTGTCCTCACTTCTCTCTCTACCCATCTTGCATTCTGGGGTCCATCATTTCAACCGCCCACTCCTTTGTTCCATTGTCCTTCATGTTGCACCTGAGTGGCAATATCTCAACTCTAGATAAACTCAACTGTCCACCTTGCCCATGCCTGCACCGAGGTGTGACAAATTGTGTAATCATTCTGTTGGATGCCACTGAAACTCTAGTTTCAACCTCAGCTAGTGCTTCAGCGCTGCCTGGCAACTGCAGTGGTCATCTTGCTCCCCATAACTCCTTACCCTTCGACTTTCTCTCTCACTTTCAGCAGATGCTCTATTCTGTCATAGAAGAATTCTCTCCATTTTCCACCACCAAGTCTATGTATCCATTTGCATTTTTGCCTACCCTCATCTCTTGGAAGGATAAGTACAACAGCTTGCTGGATGTTTTTCCTAAACGTTTTCCCAAACCCCCATTCCACTCTTCATATTGCAGGCAGGATAATCCTTTAGAAACAAAAATCTGATCGTGTCATCCCAGTGAAGAGTATGTCATTCAGTTAGTTAATTAATCACAAGTTATGGAATAAATACTATATGTCCAGCACTGCACCCAGGCATTTGGGATCTAGGGAATGAACAAAATTCCTCTATGTAAAACTCTACATTCGCTTTCTCTTCCTTGTAATATTAAAATAAAAAATCCTTGACATGGCTTCCAGGACCCCTGCTGACCTTTCAGCATGCCACTTATTCCCTCCCCCTCTTCTTTTTGGCCACAGGTACTTCTTTTTATTCCTTTAAGTTGCTATAGGATAGCAGTTCGAGAGAGTAGTTGGGTGGGCACATGAGAAAATGTAGATAGAAGAGCGGGAGCTAGTGGAGAAGGAATGATTTTTGAGTGACAGGGAGAGGACTGATAAAAAGAAAAACAATGGAAAGAGGTGGGTTGGGGTCAGGAGCACAACAGATCGAGTTGTGGGATGTTAAAGAAAGAGGGATGTTTATTTCTTATGGATGGTCAGGAAAAGAGGAATAGAGAAGAGAAATTTTGAGGTGGAGAGGAGGGAAATGAAGAGAGTTCACGGAGAGTGTCTGACGATTTTAGCAAAGCGGGAACTAAGGTTGTCTACTTGTGGAAGAGTGGAGAGAAAGGAGGTAGCTAGCAGCTTGAGGAGTGTGGGAAAGTTGAATATGCAGTGGGGAATGCTTTAGGGAGCTAATGAGATGAACGAGTGGCCCACTGAACACTTATGGGGGGCCCAGGTGAGGTTAGCTAAAGTGGGAGTGGGGGACTGGAATCATTCAGAAATTGGGAATAGCACCGTTAGCCCTATTAAACCTCCTAGATTGTTAAAGAGTAAAGTTACTGAGTGTTAAAGGCTTATACTAAGTATATGCAGGTATGGCACATCCAGAAAGATTGCAAAGATCAAGGGCTAGAAGTCAATGAAGTCGTTAAGATCAGATGCAGGGGAATATTGTTAGCAACTAGATTGCTGAGTGGTCACTTTCATCCCTAGTGTTGAGCTCTCCCTCCTGGGTCTGGCTGTGCTGTCACATTCTTTCTTTTTTTTTTTAGATACCTGCTGTCCTGTGGGATGGATACTGAACGAGAGGAATTGCTTTCTCATCTCACCTGTTAAAAGAAGTTGGAGAGAGAGCCAAAACTATTGTAAATCTCTGTCCTCCAACCTGGCTGTAGTCAATGACTATTTTTCAGTAAGCATACCCTTATTCACAGACTGTAGTGGGTACTGTTAGGTAAAGGGACATATACTGTCAAGTCAGGAATGGCAGTGCATGGATAGCATGCATTTCTTTTTTTATGCAGCTTCTCAGCATAGTGCTCCAAGCAGTCCCTACTAACTGACAGAGCTGGCATGAGAATTGACTTATGAACCACTTTTACTTTTACTTGCTTCTGATCTCTGCTTTCCAGTCAGCATTCTGGGCTGCCTAACAGATTCTCTGACTGTCATGGCCTTTCAGGCAGAGAGACCCCATACCTGGTGGGCTGGATTGTAGGAATTGGTTCCTTGTGACCACAGCAGCCCCACAGAATCACTCCCTTTCAAAGGCTGGCAGAAGTTTCTATTCATCCGGGAGATGACCCCAAAGGGTGAGCCTGTATCTATCTACAGGGTGGCATTTGAAGGATGCAGGGATAGGTCACTGATGAGCTGATGTCATGTACCAAAGGTGGATACAGTCCTCTTGTCAAAGCTCCTAGGTCCCCCTAGAGTGTTCGTTTTCTTCCATCAGTCCAGGTCTCCTCTTTTATACCCATTCCCCATTCTACTATTTGTCATCACTCTCCATTTACCTCTGGTCTCTCTGAATCTCCCCTCAGGATCCTTATCACAGCAGCTTAGGTAAGATGTTAACTTCCAATGTTTTGTCTGATACACATTGGATTACCCTCAACTCTAATAAGGACCAGCAGCGGACTAATGGTGTAAAAGACTCTGGGTAAGTTTGTTAGGACTTTTGGGTCTTTTCAATTGCATAATCCCTTCATAAAGACATTAATGACATTTCCTTCCAGGTCCTGCTCCCAAACCTTTCACAACCAATATTGTAATTGCCTATGTGTCCATTTCCTCTATTAATAACTCTTTAGGGCATTTTTATTCTCTATTATAGCCCTACTTCCTAGAAATCCCTGGCCCATGCTTTTATTTTTAATTACTAGGTTGGGACCCATGTTATTTTTTTCTCAGAAGTTAGGGCTGATGAAGGACCCTGGCATTCAAACTTACTGTCCTTCAACAAGGTTACCCAAACTGAGGCTATACGTTCTCAGCCAGGGCCATTTGGGGAGTAGCCTCAGGGGACCAAGGAAGCAGCGGAGTACCTTTGAGGTCCAACCCAGGGACCTCAAACAGAATGGTTACCTCCTGTGTTCCCTAACTGGAGTTTCCACCTTTAAGACCTCGAGTTATTTTCCCCTCCCTGGTCCGAAAGCCTCTTTGGTTTGGAATCCAGACGTCCCTGAACTGCGCCCAAACGTGGCCTTAGGTAGGCAGGGTGAGTTAGGACTTGGGCTAGGTTTTATGCAGATCAAAGGAAGAGAAAGGAAGAGAGGGGACCAGAGATTATTGCTGCTCTATTTCACCACTATATAGGTCTTATGCTCAAAACCAAAGATGTATCAAGATACAAAGCTGGTGGCCAAAAGTAAACTCAGCGGAGTGTAATAATCGTTTTCCGTGCATCTGTGAGATGGCAGCTTTTAGGTTTCCAGATGGGGACCACTCTGTGCACTGAGCTGGGTAAGAGTGAGGGATGGGACTGAGGCATGGGAACCTGAGGGGAGTGGGACTCAGCAGGGGCCCAGAGGTCAGGGGGAAGCTTGTTCCTGGGAATGACAGTCATGCCCACAGCCTCCAGGCACTTGGTCTGCTTATGTCAAGGAGGTTGCACAGGGAAGGCTGGGAGATGAAGGGAGGCCAGTGATGGGGTTGTCTAGGGAGTTGGGGAGACAGAGTGAGCTGGATGAGGGTTTCTTAGTGACCATCAACTTTGGGGTTCGCTGATGCTTTACTCTTTCAGATACTTATGCCAATAAGAGCCCATGCCCCTCATCTCTAATCTGCAGCCTGCAGGTCCCAAGATCATCTCCCTCCAGCGTTTCCTCATTCTTCTTGAACAGTGCCCGGCCAAGGGCTAATCCATGCTCAACACTTCTAGCCAGTCTGCTGCCCGCTTGAAATCCTATCCCAGAAACGACTGTTCCTGGGAAAAGGGGGAAGAAACCTCTAGAAGAGATTTTGGCGTCCCCAAGAACCTCCCATAGTGGAATGGGGGGTTGGGGGGAGGAGGGCGCACGGGCTGAGTGGATAGGGGCAGCCCGGAGCCAGCCAGGCAGTTTTATTGAAATATTTTTAAATAATCTGCACGTGTTAGTCTCGTGTGTCAGCAGTGCTGTGTCTGGTTCAGTGATCCCCACGGGATAGCAAGCCCAGGGGTTGGATAGGAAATGTTCTGTTCCTTGAGTCCATGCTGAGGTTCCCCTATAGGGGCAGGATAGCCGGTCAGCCAATCTGGGGCTGGCACTGTCCAGCATGTGCTCTGTCCTCACAGGGCATCCTGAAGGCTAAAGTTGGAGGCCTGAGACCACAGGCTCCATTGCTAAGAGCGTGCCCCAGGCAGCTGCAGGCTAGTTGTGGGTGGCTTGGCATGGTGCCCTCGGTGGCAGAGAAGACTGCCCGCCTCACAGTTCAGGTTGCGGTAGCGGGCAACAGCTGGTGTGGGGCGGGGGCACATGGACAGGAAGCCAAAGCTGAAGGGGCCAAGGCAGCAGCCAGGGCAGGGCAGCCCCTCATCGGACTCCCGGGGAACTGAAGGGGGTGGTGAAGGTTCTGTCCGCTCCAGGGCTGCTGCCTGGGGCAGGCTATGTTGGGCCCGGTTCCAGGGCTCCCCGGCCCAGCCTTGAGGGGAGTTCACTACCACAGCTGGGGGGTTGTTGTTAAGGGGAGGTCCCGACCTAGGGGACCAGGGCTGGGAGGCCGAGGAACAAGTGCTGATGAAGTTGTCTGTGGCCACAGCCAGGGGCAGCTGGGGAGCTGGTCCTGGGGGTTCTGGCTCCGGACTACTGCCCTCACACTCCATGTTCTCTTCAGCTGAGGGGCCCACAGCGGGAGGGCCAGGACCTGGCAATGCTGTCTCCATACGTCGGGGGAGCTCAGGGGACGATGGTAGTGAGCGGCAGCGACGAGCAGGTGTCCCAGGCTGGACGAGGGTCTCTGGAGTAGTCACCAAGGGCAGCTGGCTGGAGGGCAGTGGTGATGGTAGTACAAGGGGCAGAGGGGCGACTGGCTTGCTGGGTGTGTCCAGGAGCTTGATCTTGCCACCCCTGAGGTCTTCCCGCAGTGAGAAGGGGTTGACTCGAGTCAGACTGTCCCCCCAGTTGGGGAGTGATTCTGGTGATGGGGGCAGGAAGAGGTCTGACCGGCTTCGGGAGAGCCGGGGATCTGGTCTGGGAAGCGTGGCAGAGGGACCCCCTCTTGGAACAGACCCTGTAGACAGAGAAGTCTGTGATCACTGTTCTCAGCATTGATAATTTCTTACAGGCCTCGTTTATTCTCCAAGAGGGTGGTGGGACTAGAGCTTAGAAAAAGGAGTCTGATAGGATGCTTTGGAAAGGGGAAGATGTTACCTCCAGTCCCCTTTTACCTCTTTCCTTTTTTCCTTCCTTCAAGCTCTAGAATTAGAAAACTATCTTAGTTGAAATGTCCTCTCGCCCCACCCCCTTCTCAATTAATAAATGTACTTAGTTTCCCTCAGATAATTCCCTGAATTCTAAGGAGGAGAGAGGCAAAAAGACTCCAGTTGGGTCAAGGTTACACTCGCTTACCCTTAATTTGTGTCAGGGGAGCCCTGGTGAGGGGGGCTGGCTCAGGCAGCTGCTCCAGGATCCATTCCAAATGCTGGGTGATTTCAGTGAAGGGTGCACGAGCGCTGGGTTCCATCTGAGGGGTAGGGAGAGGGGCAGCTTCACTTAGTGTTCCAAAATCGGGTCCCTGGTTTTCTTCCCATCACCTGGAACAGGACAGCCTTGTCAGCTGATGGATGGGGACAGAGGGCAGGGAGGGTGAAGCTCTTACGCTGCAGCAATGGATGGCCAGGAGCAGGAAAGGCAGTGGGCAGTCATCCCCTACCAGGGTCCGGAAAGCAGGCACATCCAGGCCAAAGTCCTGCGGGGACAGAGAGGAGGGGTCTCAAAGATAGCCTTCCTTGGCTAACTTCCTTCTGTATCCTAATGTGGACCTCGACCACTAGTGACTCCTTCTTAGTTATGAGCTGCCCAGTATGGAGTTCCTCCTTTTCAAACCTGGAGACATCATTCACCTCAGTACGGGGTAGGTAGTCCGGGTCTGCGGGTACTCGCGCGATGAGCTCACAGAGGACAATCCCAAAGGCAAAAACATCAGCCTGGGGGGAGGAGATAATGTCAGGGGGAAGACTTGACAGTTTTCATGTCAGAATTTTGTCAGAAAGTGTCAGAATTCAGGGGGGAGTCTTGACAGTTTTCATGTGTTGGAGGGGTGCCTGTAAAGGGCAAAGGGGATCTTGGGGGCCTCCTGAATATCTGGTAGGGTTGTTTAGGAACTTGGGATGGGGTCCTTTAAGAGTATCTCTAGAGGGTCTCTCGAAGGTCGTGGGGATCTAAAGGGTTGATGTCTCACCTTCTCATCATACAGCTCACCCCGCAACACCTCTGGAGCCATCCAGTAGGGGGAACCCACCACAGCCAATGGCTCCTTCCTTGCCCCTTCCCTGTAGGGCAGGGGCAGAGTCATCAGAAACATCCCACCAGAAATTCTCCCAAACAAAAGGGGCTGAGGTCAGCTCCCTTCCCACTCCAAGGGAAATGTTCCTGGGGGGTTCACTTAGATAGGGGTCTTCTGTGAGTTTTGGGGGAACAGGGGTGTTCACCTTACCTATACACAGGAATCTTTTCAGCCAGCCCGAAGTCACCCACAACAGCTGTGAAGCCTTGGTCTTCCCGTCGGATCAGACAGTTCTGACATACACATAGCATCCCCACACACCCATCACCTGCTGCTCTTTGATCTTTCAATCTATACCCCCAAAAGCTCTGTCACTCCAGAATAACCCCGTCTCTGATCTTCTAGTTCTCCAGTGCATCCCAGTCTTGCAACATCATTCGCCACTCCAAAACACAATGTGGTGCTCAGTTCCTCAGAGACACCCGCTCAACCCAGTCCCCCATTCTCCAATACCTTGCTACTCTAACATCTTAACATATCTGTTATCTACATTCCAACATCCATGGGCTAGTTATAACCTAATAGTCTTAAATCCCCCTTCATGCCTCCACCCATCTGGCCAGCCTACCTTGGATGTGAGGTCTCTGTGGAATACACCTTTGGCATGCAGGTACTGCAGGCCATGGGCGATGTCCAGAGCCAGGCGGAGCCTGACAGGCCAGGATAGAGGTTCTGGGGAGCTGAGCAGCTGTTCCAGGGTCCCCCCATTCATATACTGGGGCATAGTAAAAGGAGAAGGGGAATGAATGTCAAGGTTTCAGTCTCTAGTCTCCCATTTATAAGCCAGGGGACACTCAAGAGGATCACAAAGGTCAAAAGGGTGAGCCAGTGCTCTAGGGTCCCCCATTCATATTCTAGGGCTGCCCTGTCCAATACATATGCAACTATTTAAATTTAAATTATTGAGTTTAAATAAAATTAAACATTCAGTTCCTCAGTCACAGTAGCCACATTTCCAGTGCTCTCTAACCACATGTGCCTAGTAGCTACAGTTTTGGATAGCACAGATATAGAATATTTTCATCACTGCAGAAGGTTCTATTGGACAGTACTGTTCTACAGGATATAGAGGATGAGAATAGCTGAGGCCTTTTACTTGTGGTTTGCCCATAGGGAAGTTCAGGGACGCCTCCCTGGGAGGAGGTCCTGCTGGTTCTCACTATTCCTCTATAGAAGCACCGGGGAGCTGACTCTCTCCCCTTGATGGTGGTGAGAGTAACCTCTCCTCGCCCATCCTCACCTCTGTAAGAGCGTGCAGCTGCCCCTGGTGCACACAGACCCCCATGAACCTAGAAGAGGGGAAGGAAGATAGGAGGGTAGGCTGTAAGGGTGCCGGCCACTCCACAGTTCCTACTTTTCCAGCGGGATCTTTCTCCTTCCCCTAGCAAGCTTCCCACCTAGCGGCTGGGGCTGCTCACCTTAGGATATTGGGGTGCCGAAGCCGATTCATCAGCTGCACCTCCCGTAGCGTGTTTCCCCGGTTACTGGGGAGCCTATTCATTTTCAGCACCATGACTTGCCCTGACTGTCGGTGTCGAACCTGCGGGCGGCAGGGGCCGGCAAGTCCCGGGTAGATCTGACAGGTCGCCCGGGACCGGGCCCCCTCGCTCCAGCCTCCCGTCTAAGGCTCGGTCCCGCCCCTCTGCTCTGCTCTTTCTGCTGGTCCTACCTTGTAGACCTCCGAGAAGAAGCCGGCCCCGATCTTCTCGGCGCAGTGGAAATCGTCCACGCGCGCCAAGCTGGACACGGCGCTGCGGAGAGCCCGGTAGGAGGAGGGGCGGCCCCGGCCCGGGCCTCCA